GTGAACAAAGCAGTGATAAACATGTGTGTGCATATATCTGCTTAGATGTCAGTTATGGTCTCTTTGGGGTATATTCCCAGTAGTGGGATTGCTGGGTAAAGTGGTATTTCTATTTTCAACTTTTTGAGAAAGCGCCATACCGCCTTCCACAGTGGTTGCATCATTTTACACTCCCCCCAACAGTGAATAAGAGTTCCAGTTTCTCCACAACCTCGCCAACATTTGATGTTTGCTGTTCTGTTAAATTTTGCTATTCTGAGTGGAGTGAGATGATATCTCATAGTTGTTGAGGAGTTTTTAAAAGTAGCACTGGTACCTCTCAGGACGGATTGAGATACAGGAAACATCCCCTGGCTTTGTATTTTCTGCAGTGCACATTTTGGAATGAAGGGGACTGCCTGGAATTAATAAAAAACAATTTCCTTGTTCTAACGCACTTAGAAATTCACTCTGGGGAGCACACAGGGAATTACCAAGCTTTCCTAAAGTTTCTTCCCAGGAAGGGCTTGGAGCCAGGAGATGAGGTGTGATTCCAGTTCCCTGGCTTTGTGTTCTGGCTTCCACAAGGTGGAGCTCGAATTCTAACAAGCTAGAAATTTGTCATGAGTTGTCACTTGACGGATCAGAACGACACCAAAGCCCTATGTCAAAGCTACAGACTGGTGCTGCCTTTTGTGTAGCCCTCACAGCTTCAATTCTAGAGAGCTGTGGTGTCTATGACAGGGAGCCCTGGCAGCTTAGTGAATAAGGAGTTGTGCTGCCAATCCAAAGGCAGGCAGTTCAAATCCACCAAATGCTCTGTGGGAGAAAGATGGGCATTCTCCTCCCTCACAATTTACTGCTTCAGAAACTCACTGGAGGGTCAGCTATGAGTTGGTTCTGACTCCACAGTCAACAATAACAATAACATTTTAAAAAACAACATTTAAACAACAATGACAACATTTGAGTGGATTGTCCCAGTCCAAACAGCTTAAATCCAGGGGGGATAAAGCTTTCCTGATGGAAAAAGAAAGGAAGATGAGCTTGATTGACATATTATTTTTAACCTTTATAATGTAGACTATAAGGGATCTCTGGTGGCATAGTGGCAAGAAGCTGGGCTGCAATCCCAAAGACATGCGGTTCAAATCCACCAGCTGCACCACTGGAGAAGGACGGGCAGTCTCCTCCCATGTGATTAACTGGCTCTGAAAACCCGCTGGAGGGTCAGCTCTGGGTGGGTTCTGACTCCCACAATAACAGCAACAATGTACAAAATACTAGACCTATATAATAAGGAACTCCAGTGGCCCAGAAGGTAAACAAGTGAGCTTCCAACCCAAAGGAGATGGTTCAAATCCACCAGCTTCTCACAAGAGAAATATGGGCAACATGCTATGAGATTTACAGCCTCCGACAACCTTGCTGCCTGCAAGGAACACTGGCTGTACTGTCTCCAACACTTATCTGTGTATTTTTTGCAGTCCATAAGATAGTTATTTTCAACGCACAGCGACCCTATGTGCGACAGGATGGAACAGGTCTCCTCGGCACTGCTGCAGTCACCCAGTCAGTCCATCTAGTTGAAGGCTCTTAGTTATCTAATGCTGCTGGAACAAAAACACTACAAGTAGCTGGTATTTGACACAGCAATTTATTATCTAATGGTTTAGGAGGTGAAGAGTCCAAGTGGAGTTTTTGGTGGCTTAGTGGCAAGAAGCTGTGCTGCAATCCTGGAGGCATGTGGTTCAAATCCACCAGTTACTCCACGGGAGAAGGATGGGCAATCAGTATCCTGTCTTGCGATTAACTGCCTCTGAAAACCTGCCGGACGATCTGACTCAATTGTACACAACAACAACAACAACAAAGTGCAAATCCAGGGTAGCTAGCTCCCTCTCTGTTGGTTGTAGAATAAAGTCTTTGTTTCCTTTAGCATTTGCAGACCCAGAGTTCCCTGGAGACCTCGTGTGATTTGACCTTTTCTGGTGCAGAAGGGCTTTACTGAGCAGGGTCCGAAAGGGCACGCTCCACTCCAGGACGTGATTTCTTGCTGGGGCTGAGCCCTGCCCCCTTCCCTGGGTGAGCTTTGATTGTGCGTTTTTTTTAATCTCAACTGAGAGAAATGGTATGACCGGCAATGCCCTAGAGGAACTCCCGTTACAACTGATTAGAGCTGTGATGGGCTGGGGACGCTGTGTGTGTGTGTGCGCGCGCGCGTGTGTGTGTGTGTGTGTGTGTGCGTGCATTCTTCTCTTAACCCTTTTAGAGATATTTAGTGTTAACAGATGAGTAATCATTATATAGCTTCTGTGCTATTTCATGACATACAAATATTTTTGGGAGACACAAGTCAAGCCGTCCCAAGGGTCTTCCTTTTTTATTTTTTCCCACTAACCACATGTAAGGTCGCCGAGGAAGGACAGAACCCAGTCCAGGCCAAGAAAGTTTATTGAGGAGAAACTGCTGGGCTGGCTCTAAAGCAGAAACCAACCCCCACGTCAAGTTAGAGTGGAATTTTCTATCATTTTACAAAGCAATTGGGGAGTTGGGAGGTTCGCAGCTGCTTGGTACCAGATAAGAGAGCAGGTTGGAAGTCTGGATAGTTTATCCTGGGAAAGGGAGTGGAAATAGTTTTGCAGCTCTGACGGAGATAAACAGAGCCTCAGCTGCTGCTTTGCTCATTCCCGTGGCTGCTCTGGAGAGAGAGAGAGAGAGAGAGAGAGAGAGAGAGAGAGAGAGAGAGCGCTAGCAGCTCTGTGGCCCTGACACCAAACACGACACCTTTCTTCAGGGACTGGCTCCGCCTAACTACATGCCCAATGGATGTCTTTCCATCCTCTAAACCAGATCACTCTGGTTTCACTTCTTCCAAGAAAGATGGTGTGTGCTCTTTTTTTTTTTTTTTTAAATTTTTCATCTATGGCATCCTTAAAATTCCTGGCCATTGCTCCCATAATTCTTGGAATTATAGGAAATTCTTTGTCATTGTAGGAAAACTTCTTCCATTTTCCTTATTCGTCGTCCAACTTTCATACACATATGAAACAGCTGAAAATGTTGTGGACACGGGAATTCTAAACATATCTCTACTGAGATAAAAGTTGTATTCTAGTACATAGACTTGCTGCTTTCGTGGCTTAGTGGATAAAGTGTTGCACTGCCAATCAAAAGGCAGGCAGTTCGAATCTACCAGCTGCTCCACACAGAGAGATGGGTAATCTCTTCCTGTGTGATTTACAGCCTCTGCCAATCTGCTGGAGGTTCAGCTATGAGTTGGTTCCCACTGGACAGTTATATTCTGTTCTCTCTACAAAAATATTCTGTTCTCTCTAAAAAAAAACCAAACAAAGACAACTCTCTAATACATCACTACAAATGCAAGGGTGGCTACATATTTAAAAAATTGTGCTGGAGATGTGGTGGTCTAGTGGCAGAGAAACTGCCCTGCAATCACAAAGGCATGTGGTTCAAGGCTACCAGCATCTCCACTTAGCAAAGACTTATTAAAAAAAAATAAATAAATGAACACATTTGGAATCAATTAAAAAACTTTAAAAAAAAATTGTGCTCACATTGGCAGCACATATACTAAAAAATTAGGAAGTGCTATTTTAAATGGTTGTTGTTGTTATGTGCTGTCGAGTCTCCTGTGACTCATAGCGACCCTATGTACAACAGCCCTAAACCCTGCTCTGTCCTGTGCCAATTCCACTGTCTTCCACACACCTGCTCTGATTACCTTAGTCACTGAATCAATCCACCTCTTCGAGAGTCTTCCTCTCCTGCGCTGTCCCTCCACCTTCCCAAGCATAATGTTCTTTTACAAGGACTGGTTCCTCCTTGCAGCATGTCCAAAGTATGTCAGATGAAGCTTCGGAATCCTTCTATCACAGGAGTAGCCTGGTTTAACCCTCTCTAGGATGAATCTGTTTGGTTTTTTTGGCAGTCCATGGTACATTCAATACTCTTCTCCAGCACCACAGCTCAAAGGCGTCAATTCTCCTTCTATCCTCCCTAGTCATTGCCCAGCTCTCTGAGACATAGCACGCAATTTAATAACAAATGTTCTATTATCATCTTCCTATTGTTGTTTCTGTATAATATTGAGTCAGAACTGACTCATAACTGAGCTGCCAGCTGGTTTTCAGAGGCTTTTAATCACATAGAAAGAGCTTGCTTGTTTTTCTTCTGTGGAAGAACTGGTGGATTTGAACCATGCACTTTTGAGTTGGCTGTGCAACTCCTTACTGCTCTTACTACTCCAAAGCTCTCTTTAGCATCTTGTTGTCGTTGTGTGACTCAGACTAGAACCCTAGCTGGCCCTCCAGAAGCAGTTAATCTCACGGGAGGAGATTGCGCCTCCTTCTCCCGCGGAGCAGCTGGTGGATTCACACCTTGTGCCTTCAGGATTGCAGCACAGCTTCTTACCACTAGGCCACCATTTAGCACTGCAGAAAAAGGCATTTTATAAAATTAAACAGCCTTCATTATTAAAAAAAAAGAAAAGAAAACAATGAAGAAACATCCCAGTGACTTTCTGTAATCTGTTAAGAAACCTTCAGCAAACATCTTGCTTAATAATCTCATCGAAGCCTTACAAATTTCCTGTTAAATTTTTGCCTTTTTTTCCTCCCTTCGCCTACAAGAACAGCAGCTATGTTAACCTTCTTACCTCCAGTTACCACAGAGAACAGGATGAGGTTTTTTAAAAAAAAATTAAAACAAGATTGCAATAGTAGCTTCACACCTGTTTCTTTGTACCATATCAATGGTTCAGTGTGAGAAAAGGTTGTGGTTAGCAAGACTCAAGGTGAGATGGAGAACACAGAGGGAGAAGGAAAAGCTCAAAAGTGTCCCCGATCCCCTTCCTCACGTCGCCTTCAACTCCCTGTCTGAAGGAGATGAAGTAGAATTGGCTGATGTGTCACCAGTGTTGTCTAAGTCCTCATGTAGGGCCCGCTCCAGATTGGCGGGCAGGGAGTGGAGCAGTCTCTTTTGAAAGTCTTGACCCACGAAGGCATAGAGCATAGGGTTGAGGCAGCTGTTGAAGAAAGCCAGAGATCTCGTGCCAAGAAAGAGGGCATCAGAGAGCTTTTCTCTATTTCTAAATAGCTCCTCTCTGATCCAGGGCGTGTTCAGGAGAGTGATGAGCTGAAAAGGGAAGCAACAGAGGAAGAAGGAAATGATGACAGCCGTGAGGACGCGTAAGGGATGGGTGGGTCTAACCAGGCCTTTCTTGAGGAGGCTGGTAACCAGGAGCCCATAGCAGATAGTGATGGTGAACACTGGGAAGCTGAAGGCAACGAGGAAGCGGATGATTCCATGGGATGTTGACAGAAAAAGGCTCACCCTTAACCTCTCTTCTGTAGTGTTACCCCAAGATTCATAAATATACTTGACAACACAGTATTGTTTCTTTTCCTCACTATATAATGTGGTCGAGAGGATGAACATCGGTAACGTAAGAACCAGGGCGAGAATCCAGAGTCCACTGATCACTCTCCTGGCTAGACCTACGGTGCGGTGGTTCTGGGTCCAGACCGGATGCCGGACACAAAGGCAGCGGTCCAGAGAGATGAGCGTGATGAGAAAGAGACTTCCACATAGGTTTGTGTCCGCCACCCCTGTGATGAGCTTGCACAGGAAGCCCCCGAAAGGCCATTCTCCTTTCATGACCTGGCTGGCGATGACGAACGGCAGGATGGTCACGAAGGAGACGTCAGCGATGGCCAGGTTCAGGTAACAGACGGTGGTGACGGTGCGTGGCATCCGGAAGCCAGCCACCCAGATGACGAGTCCATTTCCCAGGAGGCCCAGGACAAAGGTAATCCCAAGTAACACCAGCGACAGGACGTGCACGACCGTGTAGACGGCAGACTCGGACTCTTCATGCTGTGAAGAGTTGTTTTCCATGTTGCCCACACCTGGAAGAACGATTCCAACAGTGGTCACTTCTCAACTTTGGAACATCCTCCAGCATCTCCACTCACTGCATGGACCAACGTCGACGACAGCTGCCCCTCCAGCCAGCTCTCCTGCTTCCCTGAGTCTTGTGGCTATGCACACTACAATGGGAGATTTTCTTGGAAAAATCTTT